AATTTCCATGTATTTGTGAATTTAAAAAAATTCCTTGTTACTGATTTCCAGTTTCATACCACTGTGGTTGGAAAGATATGTGATATGCTTTCAGTCTTCTTAAATGCATGAAGACTTGTTTTGTGGCTTAACATATGATATTCTGAAGAATGTCTGGTATGCACTTGAGAAGAATGTGCATTTTGCTGTTGTTGGAAGAAATGTTTTGTATATGTTTGTTAGATTCATTTGTTCTAGAGTTTAATTTAATTCTGATGCTTCCTTATTGGCTTTCTGTATGTATGATCTGTCCATTGCTGAAAGTGGGGTATTGAAGTCACCAACTATTTTTGCATTATGTCTAGTTCTCTCTTCAGAGCTATTATTATTTGGTTTATAATTATATTAGGTGCTCCAATGATGAATAGATACATATTTAAAATCATTATATCATCTTGATGAATTGACCTTTTTATCATTACATAATAATTTTATCTCATTTTACAGTTTTTGTCTAAAAGTTCATTTTCTCTGATATAAGTGTTGGCACACTTATCTGATAAAAGTGTCTAACTCTCTTTTGGTTTCCATTTATATAGAATATCTATTTCCATTCTTTCACTTTTAAATTTTGTATGTTTGTAAAAGTGAAAATCTCTTATAGACAGCATACAATTGGGTCTTTAAAAATTTATTCATCTATGTATTTTAATGGAAGAATTTTATGCATTTACATTCAAGGTAATTATTGATAGGTAAGGACTTACTACTGCCACTCTATTAACTTTTTATTTTTTGTTGTTTTATAGTTCCTTTCTTCTTCTCTTGTTGTCTTCTTTTATGATTAGAAATTTTATCTTGTGGTATGCTTTGATTCCTTATATTTTTGTCTTTTTGTACATACTGTAGATTTTTGGTTTGTGGTTACCATGAGGCTTACATAAAACCTCATGATAGTGATAATATGCTATCCTAAGCTAATAACAACTTAACATTGACTATATAAAAAAAACTACAGTTTGACTCCACAACCTCCACATTTTATATTTTTGATGCCACAATGTACATCTTTTTATATTGTGTATCCCTTACTAAATTATTGTTGCTATTATTATTTTTAATAGTTTTGTGTTTTAACCTGTATACTAAAAGTATTAGTGATTTACATACTACCATTTCAGTGCTAGAGTATTCTGAATTTGTGTACTTACCTTTACCAGTGAGTTTCATACTTTTATGTTTTCATGTTACTAACTAACATCATTTCAAGTATTAAGAACTCTCTTTAGCATGTTTTTTTTCTTTTTTTTTTTAAGAGAGAGAGTCTGACTCTGTTACCCAGGCTGGAGTGTGCAGTGGCACAATCCAAGCTCACCCAGGTTGGTCTTGAACTCTGGGGCTCAAGTGATTCTCCTGCCTTGGCCTCCAAAAGTGCTGGGATTTCAGGCATGAGCCACCATGCCCAACCCTCTAGAACTCTCTTTAGTATGTCTTGTAAGACAGATCTGATGGTGATTATCTCCCTCAGTTTATGTTTGCCTGGGATAACCTTTATCTCTGCTTCATTTCTGAAGGACAGCTAGGGACTTATTTTTTTAAATCACTTTGCTAATATTCCCTAAAATATGACAGAAGAAAAGATTTTCAATATTGCATAAGATTTCCTGGAACAAAAGTTTGTGGAACAAAAACTGGAACAAAAGTCGTAAGTATCACTTATCAGAAGACAGTTAAATTATTTTGTCACTTTTGGGAAAATACCCATGAAAATTGGAGTTCTTTGTGCAATTTACATTAAAACTTTAAAAAATAAAAAATTAAAATAAAATGATTTTTAGAAATTATTTTTGTAAATTAAGATAACATGGGGGAGGGCCAAGACAGCTGACTGGAGATTAACAATTCCCTCTCAGCAAAGGAGTCTCAAAGAGAAAATGGGACCCCTGCTTTGAGAGTCAGCCTGGAAACCCAACCTGAGGGTCATTGGTTAGTCACCTGGGGACGCAGAGAACAATTAACTCCAAGCCCAGCCACACCCAGAAGCTGCCCTGACATAAGATTGGGAAAGCATCCTTGGAGAAGGAAGTAATGAATGAATGGGAGAGCTTTTTACATACCTCTTGTGAGCCCCTGCAGTCCTAGCCAAGGCAGAGACAGCCCAGCCCCTCCCCAAAAGCTGCCTAGAATTGGGACAGAAGTACCAGGTGGATCCATTTGGGGTTGGGGAACTCCAGTGCCTGGTGAGCCTTGGCATGGGCAGTCATCAACCACCCCACAGAGAGATTCCACAGGCAGACTTCTGTGGGTACTCAAAATCAAGGATGCTTACTCCTCCTTCCTTTTCCAACCTCCAGCTGGGTGAAATGTCCAAGTTTGGAGATGTTTCTTTAGCAGTGTGGGTGCCCATTCTGGCCCCATTTTAGGGCTGCATATGTGACTTGCCCTCCATTTTTCACGGACCTAGACAAGACAATACTTAAATTTGTATAAAAGCGAAAAAGATCCTGAATAGCTCAAGTTGTCCTCAACAAAAAGAACAAAGCTGGAGGCGTCATACTCCCAGGCTTCAAACTTTACTACAAGGCGAAGTAACCATGACAGCATGGTACTGATACAAAAATAGGCACATAGACCAGTGGAACAAGACAGAGAACACAGAAATAAAACCACAGACCTTCAACCAACTCATCTTTGACAAAGCTAACAAAAACAAACATTGAGGAAAAGAAACTCTATTTAGCCAATGGTGCTAGGAAAACTGACTATAAACAGAAGAATAAAACTGGACAACTACCTATAACTGTATATAAAAATTAACTCAAAATGGATCAACCTTAAGCTATAAGAATCTTAGAAAAAAACCTAGGGAACATCCTTCTTGACATTAGCCTAGGCAATGAATTTATGGCCTAATCCTCATTAACAAATGCAGCAAAAGTTAAAATTAAGTTGACAGGAGGGACCTTATCAAGCTAAACAGCTTTTGTGCAGCAAAACAAACCATTGAGAGAGTAAAGAGACAACCCATAAAATGGAAAAATAAAATAATTTTAAGCTATGCATCTATCAAAGACATAATATCTAGGATCCTTATAAGAATCTCAAATGAATTGACAGGAAGAAAACAAATAACCCAATTAAAAACTGGGCAAAGGACATGAGCAGACATTTCTCAAAGGAAGACATTCAAGCAGCCAACAAACAGGAAAAAATGCTCGGCATCACTAATCATCAGAGAAATGAAAATAAACACCAATGGAATATCATCTCACACTGGTCAGAATGGCTACTATTAAAAAGTCAAAAAAAAAATAACAGGTGTTGGTGAGGCTGTGGAGAAAAGGGAACACTTGTACGCTGTTGGTGGGAATGTGAGCAAGTTCAACCATGTTCAAAACAGTTTGGAGATATCTCAAATAACTAAAAATAGAGCTATCATTTGACCCAGCAATTCCACTTCTGGGAATATACCCAAAAGAACACAAATTGCTCTACCAAAAAGACACCTGAATACGTATGTCTATTGTATCACTATTCACAATAGCAAAAACAGAACCAAACCCGATGCCCATAGAAAGTGGACAGGTTAAAGAAAAGGTGGTACATATACACCATGGAATTCTATGTAGAAGAACAAATTCATGTCCTTTTCAGCAACAAAAGGTTGGGAATAACAGACACTGGATACTACTAAAGGGGAGAGGGAGGGAAGGGGGACCCACACATTGCACCTAATGGGTGGTTTTGTATCCTTTATCCTCACCTTTATAAATACAGAACAAAATGCTATGGCAGTCCAAAAGAGAAAAAAAAAAAAAGCAAATAAAGAGATATCCAAAAGGCTAAACAGAGCTGGTGGCATTTGATCAGAGGCTTCAGGAATTCGTAGGTAACATGGTCGGTCATAGAATAAAGGAGTCTAGATGACAGAAATATGTCAAGAAAGTTCAAGAGTGAAGAAAGTACAGGGCTCGTTCAGGAGTTAGTAGTATAATGTGACTAGAGCACAAGAACATGTTGTCAAAAATGAACCTGTTAAATAAAAACAAGCCTAGATTTTATTCAGAAAATGTGTTAAAGCAGCTTGTTAATAAAAAAGTTTGGTCATTGCCCCTCCTTAATATTGTAATGTGCTGCAGTGTATACACTTGGAACCGAGTCAATTTTAGAGCTGATGCAGCTAAAGTCCTTGGGGAGAAGCAAATGCCAAGACCAGAGGTCATTAGAGCATCCGTAGAGCCATAAAATTGAAATTGGAGCTAGACTAAAAGACTTTGACTTAAAAAGAAAACCATCACAATTAGAGCAAGTATTAAAGAGAGCAATTGATAGGATATTTGCCAGCTTTGAATTAAACTCAGCTTTAATTTTTAAAAGTGCTGGTTGCAGCAAAATGAAACCATCCTTCTTCAACACAAGACTGTAAAGTGATCCCATTAAGATTCATTTCAAATTTGAACTATTCCCAACTTTAATCTATTTGGTTGGTTAATCATGAAGTGATGGTTGCAAATCATGTCACTATCAGAAAGACCATCATCTGGCCCAAAATGAGTGAAATAAAAGGCATTACTTTCACTTTTATCTGCCTTCTATGCTGTTAATTTTAGTATTACCAGGATTTAAGGTCAATTAATTCTGGAATCAGGAAATTAAACAATAAATTATGAAAATCTAAGCAGTAGATTCTTCATTCCAAGGTTTTGCTTTATATGAGTGCATCTATTTGAGTGTGTGGACGCGCATAGGAATGGTTGCTTTTAGTGAAATGGGCAGGTATAAGATGTATTGATTGGGTTCTTCCTGCCATCAACTATGTAACAAACCTGTCACATCTCCAAGTAGTGAATCATGTTGACAAGGCGCATTGCATTTTATGAGTGTTTTTTCTTTCAATCCAGAACACTTGTAACTGAAGCATACTTGCTGTGAGCAACTGAGCTCTGCTGCCTTCCAGAGCCATACAAATATTCATCTTGACCTGAAAATCAGTTTTTCTGCTAGCACAGAAGATTTTTAGCATGAACAAGATCTTCTCAAGTCCTCTATGTTTTGGAATTCTAACTTTGTTATTTATAATGATCTTTTTGGAATCAGTGCATGGATGGCCATATCTTACCCAAGGTACGTGCACATGAATCTAAAATCCTACAGGTGAGTAAAAAATCCTTATTTTCTTGTTTGTGTCACTTTGATTTTCCTGCCATTACTGAAATAATGTTTTAAGACATTAATGTAATAGCTAAACCTCCCTAAATTGTTGCTGTTTAGAATTAAATGTCATCTATGATGCTGTTCTACTCAAGTAAATTGTATCAAATTACTGTTACCCAACATTGTACTAAATTATCTTCAACTATGCTTTATTTTTTTTAAATCATGGGGCACTTGTTTCTCATTTGTACTCCATGACCAAAACTTGGAATGTATAAATTAGTAATACAGTTTGTGACACAACCTGTTCATATTTCAAAAGATCATCTTGGAGAAAGACAAAGGAGATTTTCATCTTATGACAATTTTAATAAATTATTTGTTAAAAAAATCAAAATAAAAATAGGTCTGCAGAAATTTGAGGAAATAAAGCATTGAGTTAATCAACTAACATTTTGTAGACACAGGAAACAGATGATTTAAAGAAATAGTCTAGTTAATTTGTGAGCCATTTATCTAGCTGAAACCACATCACTGTCACTCGTAAACTTAAACTTCATTAATCTAGTCTGTGCCCACACTATAACAGTTAATACAAAGAGAAGAAGATAAAAAAATGATTTTTCAGAAATTGTGTGATAAATGTTTGGTTTTTCAGATTACATCACAAAACTTCATTGTGACATACCAATTATTATTTCAATGGCATTATTTGCTAATAGATATTTTGCTGAATTTTTAAAAATTTTTATTTTAAAGATGTGAGGTACAATTCAGGGTTAGGTATACAAATGACCATTGTACAGGTAAATTTGGGGCCTCACTTTGGTCCCCGCATCACCTAGCTTGAGATTAGGTGCCCTCAATGATTAATTGTGCCCCTCTCGCTCCCTCCCCTGGCAATTTCTCATTACTGTCAATTTCTTTCTTATAGTATTATAATAATTGTTAAGGGTTCGCTTATGAGTGAGAACATGTGGTACTCAATTCTTTGTTTCTGTGAAGGATTTTTGCTGAATCTTTATTTTTTTTATAGCTTGATTGATTTCCATTGTTTCAATTTCTACTCCAGAGTAAACACACTTATAGTGTTTAGAGAGTTGGCAACTGAGCAATGAAAGTCTGGTAAATTAACAAAGATGGAAGGTAAATTAATAATAAGAAGAAGGTAGACATCATCTCAGCTCTGCCACAAGCTTTCTTGGATTTAAAGGCAGCTCCTGGAACATAGGTTGACTCATATTTAAATGTGTATATCAAATAAAAATTACAAAATCAAATGTCATTTTTTCTTTTTAAAAATTATTTGTAATTTATACTTCTTTTGTTACATGCAATGATAGAACATTTCAAAAATATAGAATAAAAAGAAGAAAATAAAATTCACTTGCCATTCTTCTACCCCAAAGTAATCACAGGTAAATTTTGGGGTGCAACTTTCCAAATATTTATTCTCTCTTTCTCTCTCTGCCTTTATTTCTCTTTAGTTGTTTCCTGTATATTCAGTGATTTTTAAAAACAACCTGTCTCTCTCTACACCTCTTTCACTGGTGAATATATACATTGATAGTTGCATGTAAAACCCATTAAATTAGAAACACTTTCACTGACTCAGATTAAAAATGGTTATTTGTGATCATTACAGGAAATGAAGTGTTTCCAGATAAAAAAGATAGAAATCATAAGGAACTATTGCTGGCTCTACTGAAAAAAAATTTTGATTTCCAAAACCATTTCAACATTGGTGAGTTAAGAATAAAGGCAAACTTTATTTATTAAAACAAAACAAAACAAAACAAAACAAAAACAAGTCTATTCTATCTTGGAACTTGTTCTTTCTAAATGTTACTTTATATTAAATAAAATAACTGTTCTTTTATATGCTATGCTGAAGGCTCAAGTGTTTGTCTTGTTTGATATTAATGCGAAAATTAAATTAAAAAATACTGAAAGCCTATTTTGTTCAATTTGAAGGTACTAATGGATTAGTAATCATTTAGCTAAAAATAATTATCTTCACTCATATTTTCCTCTCACCTCTGCTACTCTCCACTAGTACAGTTAATACTTTATTTTACTAAATGTTTCAAGAATATTATGTTTATAGGTTTCTACTAGAAATTTCACAAATTAACTGCTATTAACTTGTGATAGTGAATTTAGCACTTTTAATTTTTTTAGCACCTTTTTCAATACAATTATTTCAATTTGGAAAATGGTTGAAGTAGAGATGGTAAATGGAAAATTCAGGCTACTCCAGTTGAGATTATTTTTATTCAAAAAGTAGGAGAATCTGACTTACAGATAAACATCAACGTGTTCTCCAAGAAATGACTGAGAGTTTATCAGAAATTAAGCAAGTCTAAACTGAAAGAAACTATAACAATGTAGTACCCTCTTACAACATTGGAAGGATTCTAAAAAAAAGTCTGTATTCATAGGTCAAAATGTTGGTTAAAAGATTATATTGCTAAATGCTTTTTAAAATGCAGAGTTTTAAATTAGAAGATATTCTCTTTGGAGATAATCAATGAAATTATAAAACAGAAAAATTCATACCCAAATTGTAAAATCTGAACAGAGTTGCCGTTAATATTTTGGAGAATTTTTTTTGATTGAACTATATATAGAATTTGTGTCCTGCTTTTAAAAATTTATTTAGAGTTGCTTTGTGAGTATTTTACCATATTAGTAAAAAATTTCTAAATAATAAGTCATGTTAGAAATATGGTCTGCTTTAGAAAGCTTTATGCTAATTGTTGAAAATTAGGTATTTTTCTTAACATAACTGATTGCATTTAAATGCCATGGGCGTTACAAAATATATTGGAGGCTTTATATTAGGAATGGATGGGTGAACTCAAATCATGAAAAAGACCTTTGCCTTCCACGTGAGCTCTTAAATGTGTGTCATGTGTCCTCAAGTATATTTAATATTACTTGCAATGTATATTTTTTTCATATGACAAATATGTCTTGCAGATACAGAACTGGCTAACAAATTGGAAGAACTTAACCAGGTGAGAACATAAAATACTAAATTTATCAATTTTAATAAAAATTATAAGGCAATTTATTTTTGACAATGTTTTAAAATTATTAATAGTACAATGTAAAATTTTATTTCTACTAGATAAAGGATAAAAGCAATTCACCAGAAAAAATTAATCAAATTATACTAAACACACACACACACACACACACACACACACACACACACACACACACACACGAAACTATGTCTGAATGATCATAGTATGAATGTCTAGAAATCTGGATTCTTGTTTTAGTTCTCCAATTACACAACTATAAAATCTTGGTAAAACTACAATCTCTAGACCTAAATCTCCTCATTTGTAAATGAGAGACTATAAATAGATGGATATTTTCTGAAACTATTATTATATTTAAACAGTGAGATCTCTTTTCTCTTAGCAAAATGTTATGCAGGCTCAACAAATGAAACACAAGAGTATAGTTGTTCTACTTAAAGAGTCTGTAGTACTGCATTCTTGACAGGGAAACAACCTTCTTAACAACTTCCTTTTCTCCATTCCTTGATATGCTGTGAAGAAAATTTGAAGACCATTAGATTAGATGATTTCTAATCTAATATACTCTTTCAGATACAACTGCATGAAATTTCATTATTCTTCAAATTATGTGGCCATTTGGGAGAAAGTATTATTCCCATCAGTCTCTTCTGGGTAGCAAGGAAATGGAGACATGCTGTGGTTCAGGCTGAAGCCTACTTTGGTAAAGTTAGGTCTTAAGGGCTTGGGCAATTAGAGAACTTGTTAAAAATTAAAATGAATTGGATTCTGGGTGGAAATCTTAAAGCCTCAAAATACTTTTCCCTTCCAGCTAGAAAAGACAAAGATTTCAGAAAATCCAAGCACTGACATAACTTTTTTGAAAGTCCTTGAAGAAACTTGCTTATTATAGGTGACATAAAATCAAGTCCAGCTACACAGGCTATATATACAAGTTCTCCCATTAATTAACACTCAGCGTTGACTTCCTTTGCTCAAAACCGTTTCTTCCTGATCTCCTGTTGAGTCATGTACCTTTCCCAACCAGCCTCTAAATGCATGTTTCCTGTTTTTCATTTGTTTTCTTTTTATTTATTTTATTTCTCTTTCCCCTTTTCCCTCTTTTGTCTTTTTTCCTTGATTTCTTCTACCTTTTCTTCTGTTTCTTTTTTCTTTCTTGACTTATTCTTCTTCCTTTTCAACAGAGAACAGCATGGTTGCTATAACAGACAAATTAATTAACGTTTTAAATTTTTAACAGACGAAAAAGCTAAAGAAACAGCTTGTGGAGGCAAAGGATTCTGAGATGTCCTATGCTATAGATGGTTTATTATCTTCCCATTCTAACAAGCGAGGTAAGTTTCATTTCAAAGTTTTAAAACTGACTTCCAAAAGAAGTCAATTATGCAATTTCTTCTGAGATGGAAGAGATTCAATTAAATTTCTTAATCTTATGGTGATGATTAAGATCAAGGCTCATATCAAAATAAAATTCCAATAAAAGTGTTCCTGTATAAATGTATCTGATCTCTGTCATGTTTACAGCAGGGGGTAGCAAGGTCATACTTTTCAGGTTTAAATACAATAGGTCCTTATTATATAAACTATAACTTACCATTGCTATTTTTACCTAAACATTCAAGCTCGAAGGATCACAAATACAAAATAATCAAGTTTTAATTTAATGCAAAATTTCATAGACTCTTTTTTGATATAATAAGAAACTTCATTGCTGTGACACTTGGTCCAAGGTTTAATTACTAACATTTACTTTTAGAAAGATTGTTTTATAGATTATGCTTTTGTATAATTTTTCCTAGAAAATTCTTATTTCTTACTGACTTAGTTCTTATTTTTGAGAACATTGTTTATGTTTCTTTGTTCCTGTAGTGCTGTGAGATTTCCTAAAGTATATTGTTTTTAACTCGTCACCTTATCCCATTTGTTTTTGACTTTTGTAAAATTATATTTTTGCAATACTATTCAAGAGAGAAGTATTAAGCACTTAGCATATACGAGACATTTTATATTTTAATGTCTTTAAATATAGAGGTTAAACAGATCCTAGAGCTAGATTGCCTGGGTTCACATGTTAACTTTAACAATTTCTACTACATTCTCTTGGGCAATTATCTAATTTCCTCTGCCTCATTTTCTTTGCTTCAAGACTCAGGTAATAATAACAATACTCTTACAAATTTTGGAGGGACATAAACATAATAATAATTTTCTTAGAAGGGAGGATTAAATCAGTTAATTTAATTTAGAATAACACCTGGCATATAGTAAGTACTAAGTATGCATAACTTTTTAAAAAACATTTTTATCTTTATTAATATAATTATCATTATATTTTATATAAAAAACTGTAAGATAGCTATTGACATCACTATTCTGTAGATGAGAAATTGCTTCTTAGAGGAGTTAAATTATATGCTGAAAAGAATCCAATTGTAAAGTGGTTTAGGTAGTGAGTCTGAAGAAGAAACTAACTAGTAGATAAAGTGGAAGGTTGAAGAGGGAAACCTTGTAGCTTCTCAGGGACTTTAGCTTTTTCTTTATGTTATATTGGAAACCATGGGAAAGTTTTGAGTAAATGAGTGATATGAAATAAGTTTTAACAGAATCACTCTTGATGCTTAATGAAGAATATACTGAAAAGAGGAGCAAAGATGGAGACAGAGTCCTTTAATGGGCTACTGTATCTGGATAATAAATTGTGGTAACTTGGCTTAGAATTAATTCAAGAGGTGAATTGAGAAGGGCTCTCATTCTGGACATATTTTGAACAAAAGTCAACGAAATTTGTTGTAGAATTGCATATGGAGTGTAAAAGAAAGGTGGATGTCAACAATTACTCTGAGTTTTTTGCTCAAAGCAATTAGGAAAAAAAGAGTAGTTTCTCTTTATTGAACCAAGAATAGCAGGAGAAAGAGAAAATTTGGAGGAGAACCATTGAAATAGAGATTTGTTGGATCTTTCCTGAGTCAGTACAGCTTAAGCTAAGATGTGTTAACAATTTTAATCTAAATCTCAGAGGCTTAGTGTAATAGAATCTGGGATAAAGTCCAACACACGTAGCATATCACCACTCTATTTTGTAGCTATATCATCTAGAATGTTGATATATCTTAATTGCCTGCAAGATTGCTTAGTCAGAATATAGAGGTTACATCCAGCTCTCAACTGCCTTAGTTCGGTCTGGGATTAGTCACTTGGGCTACCACCAACATATGGCAAACTATGCTGGTGAATGTCATAAAGTATCTATAATACTTGCTGAACACTGCCTCTACCACAATCAATCATTTGATCTCTTCTTAAGAGCAAAGACATTCTTGATCCACTTCCATAGACACAATCTCAAATCTCTTCCATGGTCTGCAGGCAGCATAAAGCACACAGCACAAAGAACAGGCTTTCCAGGATATGCTTACCAGTCTTCATTGGAAACAATATAGCTACTCTTTATTCACAGACCTATTAACTAAAAAGACAAGTTGTGTACGCCATACAAATCTAATAATTGGAAGAATAGGAAAAGGATAACCACAAACAATAATCCTGCTGATAAGACGAATAAGAGACACATAACAGCTGGAATGCTGACCTCCAGCAATTCAGAAATCTTTCTGGGTAAATATTTTGAATGCCTTCTACCCTGGAAATGGAGAAAGGTTTCTTTATTAGGGACTGCTAGTTTCTAGGAGGATTCCTTTTTTCACTCTATCGCTTTCCCTGGTTCCACTCTTTCTGAGGGTTTTACTTTCCATTACTATAAATGGACGCATGTCCTACTTGGGAGAACATTCCCTTCCTGTGAATTGCACAGTCTTTTCAGGTCTCTTTTTATTCTTGCAAAGTTAAAAATCTCAAGATTTATTTTGTCTTAAAGTGCTAAAGAGATTTTTTTTAAGATTCTGGGGTTTATGGTTTCTTTGGCAATAGTGTTTTTTCCCCCAAATCCCAGGACACTTCTTAAATATTTGCTACACACAAAGTTTTTTTAGAAGCAGTTTTAATTTTTTTGCATTTTCACCCCAACTTATTAGCAGCTGCCTTGAAGGTAACTGTAATATATCTTAGAAATCACATAATTACTCTGATTTTTTCCTCTGATTTATTTATTCCAACTAATATTTACTGAGCTTTTATCACTTAAAGACATTTAAAATTTCATTTTATAGTGTTTGAGATCTAGAAGCAGTTAACTTTCTTAACATTTCAAGACTCTGCATTCTGAACTCTCTTTATTTTCCCTTTTTGTTTGTAGAGAAATCAGTTCCTTTCTGAGTGCATCAATTTTTTGTAATTCCAGACTAAATGTATCCTACAGCAACTTAAACATACTGCCTGCCAATTTTCTATTTTTTAACATTTTCTTCCAGAAATTTCAAGAGACATTATCTGAGTTCCAAGCTGTTGTAAATGCCACTTTTACCACATATTTTGCCATTTCATAAAATGTTCTTAATTTTTCCAACCTATGATATAATTTTGCTTGTCTGCCATTAATGAGTTGCTGATACTGTGTCACATGTCAGGCACTTTTTAGTATAGAACCCTCCACTTTGAGTTATCAAACTCTATGGTAGACAAATTACACTGACAAAATAACCTTAAAATCTCAGTGGTGAAACTTGCTATACGTTTTATCTTAAGTTTACACAAAACCTTTCCTTCACTTGTGCCTATGTGATGTGGAACACATGGTCTCCAGAGTCCCCATAGCTGGATAGGAGAGAGATGAAGCAGTAATACATGCTTTTAACTGCCAGAATTAGGCACATGATCCCAATCTAATTTAATGGGAATGGGGGAACGCCTAGGAAAATGCAGAGAAGTCTAAGGAATAGTTAAAGAATTCTATCCCTACCACAGATATTTCAAGTTTGTTATGTCATGTAGAATAAAGTCTTCCCAGAAGTGAGTTGAATAGGTTATTGTATATAGGTTATTGTATATATGAATTGGAAGTTCAGGAAACCAGCTCAGATTGAGGATGTAAATTTGACCATCATAAGCATGTCAATATTGTTTGGCCTTGTGATGAGATCATCTAGAAAGTGACTCCAGATATAAACTCAAGATATCCAAGGACTGAGGCCCAGGTCACTACAATTATAGAGATTATACAAATAATAAGAGATTTAGCAAAAGAGACTGAATAGGAACAGCTACCAAGGAAGAAAGTAACAAAGAAAGTAATGCCCACAAGTCAATTGAAAAAACAATAGCAACAACAACAAAACTTGTTCCAGGAAAAAAGGAATCAGCTGTATCTAAAGCTATGATAGATGCAGTAAGATGAGAAATAAGATCATCCAGCTGAATTCAGCAGCGGAAAGTTCATCGATGGCCCTGACAAGAATTGTTTGATGACCTTTTGATTAAAGAAAACATGATTAAAGAACTGGCACTGACAACAGACACCTCTTTTGAGGAATTTTGTTTTAAAGAGTAGAAAAATTGGGAAATTAGCTAGAATGGTTTGCAAGGGTAAAAAAAGCTTTTATTTGTTGTATTTGTTTTAAACAAGTAGATATTAAAAAATATTTCTATGTGGTAGGAACAAAGAAATTATTTGTGGTGATGAATGTATGAAATGAATGCTCAGGTTAGGTCACAAACACATAACACACATTATATAGGGTGGTGCTGTTGCCATAACTAGAAACTGATAACTGTGATTAACAGTGTATGAAAGTGAAATGAACCCAGAAATCCAAGTTAAGGCAGTAGGAACTTCGACTTACTGTGAAATATTGTAACATTCTTTTATCATTTAACATACAGCTGATAGACATCTGCTACAAATACAACTGTTTAACACCTAGCACTGTGCTAAAAACAGGGCATAAGAGTGCCCAGACAGACATTAAGGGACTGCAGAATGCTGGCTGGGGTTTTACTTCATGTAATTTTTTTTTGGAGTCAGAGTTTCACTCTGTCATCTGGACTGGAGTGCAGCGGCATGTTCATGGTCACCACAGCCACGACCTGCTGGGCTCAGGTGATCCTTCCACTTCAGCCTTCTATGGAGCTGGAAGTACAGGCATGGCTAATTTTTTGATTTATCATAGATTCAAGGGCTTACCAAGTTGCCCAGGTTAACCCCTGGACTCAGGCAATTCTCTCGCCTCCGCCTCCCAAAATGCTGGGATTGTAGTCGTCTACTTCACACCCAGTCTACTTCATGTCAGTCATAAATGTTATGCAGTATAAATATTGGAGAGTTGGCTCTACTGGCAATACCACTCCTGACAGTTAGCTCTGACCAAGTCCAAAACGTCTCAAAATTATATCCAAATTATATATATATATAATGTATATACTTGAGTGAGCTGCTCATATGGTATAAGTCTTAGCTAAGTGCAGGCTTGTAGTTTTCTGTCAAACTGAAATATTCAAAGATATCTGAAAGGATAGAGAGGTTGTGATGATAACTTTCTAAAGGCTACTATAAAAAAGAAGATTGGTTGGGCACAGTTGCATGCTCATGTAGTTCCAGTTACTCAGGAGTCTGAGGCGGGAGGAATTCTATGGCCAGGAGTTGGAGGCCACAGTCACACCTCTGCATTCCAGCCTGGGCAACAAACATAATGAGACCCTGTTTCTAAAAAAGGAGGAGGAGGAGGAGGAAGAGGGAAAAGAATAAGAAAGATTAGAAGATTAGTGGGCAAAGCTCCTTAGTTCAATGTCTGAAAATAGACTTCTGCTTTCATAGAGTTTGAATGTGATTTTTAAGGGAAACAGTAGACTCTGAGTGCTGTCATAGCACTGTATACATGTGGTGATGGACACATAGGTTACAGTTTAAGGAGAGAGTTTAGTTGGGGAGGGAAACCTGGACAAGTATATAGACTTTTATCATTTATTTATCTCAGTGAATGGCTTAACTGTGCTGTATGTTTTTCAACTCTTTTTCATTGAACAGTCCATTAATCAACCATGAATTAAAGACCCCCTTTCCAAAGATCTTAGTTGTATATGCTATTTAGATTAAAGGAGATAGAGAAAGTTATAATTAGTTAGATGAAACTACTGTAAGTCAGACAATTGATAGGTAATAATCTACACAAGATTTCAAATGATTCATTTATACATTTGAAGATTGAAATGCTGATCTATTTGGTTTGCGTTGTCTGAAAATAGTTTTTTTTATGATCTGAATGGGAAGAATCAATGTGATAAATAATGCATTTAATTAAATATCATTTGGTGGTTTGCAAAGTGATCTTTAAATTCTCTTTCTTCTTCTTCTCTCAATAAACAGAAGCACATTTAGCACTGCTTTTTACTTATGCAACTTCCTCTTTAACACTTTCAGTTACCCAACTGTGAAACAGAGGGATGAATCTCATAGGACAATCTGCATTTTCTAATCCGTATTACATGTGTTAAAATGTATGGCAGGCTGTCCAGTACAACTTTCTGTGATGGGGACATGCTCTAATATGCACTGCCTGCGTTGGTAGTCGCTGGACACAAGTTGCTATTGGGCACTTAAAATGTGACTAGTAGCCAGGCTCGGTGGCTCAGCCTATAATCCCACGCCTTGAGAGACTGAGGTGAGAGGATTGCCTGAGCCCACGGGTTCGAGACCCACCTAGGCAACTTGGTGAGACCTCATCTCTACAATAAATCAAAAACTTATCTGGGTGTGGTAGGGCACGCCTGTAGTTCCAGCTACTTGGAAGGCTGAGGCAGAAGGATCACCGGAGCCCAACAGGTCGAGGCTGCGGTGGCTGGGAGCGGCCACTGCACTCCTGTGTGGGCGACAGAGTGAGACTCCGACTCAAAAAAAAAAAAAAAAAAAAAAAAAATGTGACTAGTGTGATGGAGAAGTTTAATTTTTAATTTATTTCATCCTAATTAATATAAAGATTCACATATTAAACATCCTTTTTACGGACACATACACTCTCATTCAGGCACACATACGTTATTTTATTCAAATGTAAAGTTTTTCTCAAATTACCTCCTAATATAGAATTTGCTCTGTTTTCTTCTTTAGCTTGCTTTTGGAAATACTGTGTTTGAAGCTTTTTTCTCTGGATGCAAAAAGGAAGGGAACATCAGAGAAAGATATACATCTACTCTGTACTGCTTAAAGTTTGTAGCTGTTTCATGTATTGCTTAAAGTTTGTAGCTGTTTCATGTACTGCTTAAAGTTTGTAGCTGTTTCAAGCATAAAGAAACTGGCATTTACTCTGCATATTATTTTCTTACCTTGCTAGCCTGTTACTAAGTGAGTTATAATATGCTTAAGGTTTATGTTTTGAATAATGACATATCAATTGCACTTTTGAATGGCATGTGATTATCAAAATGGCTTTGTAGAGCTAAATTTAAAAGTGCTGTATCTATTGTATATTTTCTATGAATTTATTCTCTACATGTAGTTTTGTCCTGTTATGACGATGCTGTTGAGCTATCAATTAGAATATTTTAAAAACCTTCTTGGAGGGAGGGAAGGAGCAGGGATGAGGGGCATACAACCACATACTGTGTACCAGGTCCCCTCTACCAGGGTGAGAGAGGACTCTATACATCAAACTGTTCTTGCTTGAATAAGTGTATTTAATCAATCCAAGGCTTGGAGCTCAATCTCAATTTTGCTACCTGTGCTGGCACAGATATATCATCAAAATAATTTTGGAATTAAAGAATATTAATTACTAGCCTAGTATGTAATAGCTGACGAGATGAGGCTACACACATTCCCTTACTTTACAATATGGGAGAGGATGCAATTTTATCTAGATAATTTTCATTGTGTGGTGTTTAAAGATAAAAGTATCTTATAAGATAAAAGGAACAATATTGCTTAAAATATAAAAATAAGAAATACATAAACAGACCGAGTTGAGCAATTTGCCTGTAATGCTAAACTTGCATAGGAAGTACTCAAATGTACACAAGTAAATATTATTCGCACAATAATGCCTGGAGATTTTCCCATGTATTTACAATAGTTGTGAATGCAAACATAATGTTATAATAAACAGAGATAAAAACTTCTGCTTCCATCATCTCATGTTTATTAACTTTAGAAAAGTTGAACAATATTCAAGTGTATTTCATCTTTAGGTACAAAGTAATGTCATTCAAAAAACTTTTGATACTTCTTCCTTTTAAAAGTTTCCATTAAGCTATTTTTTAAAAATAATTTGCTTTAAGAGAGTTAACCCCTAAAGCTATGTGTAGATTAAAGGTACAACTTGATAGACTTTTTGTAGCTTAAGTACATTTTAAGAGAATGTAGCCAGAAATTAACATCATTTTATGAAAAATTGATTATGCAATTGACACCAGAACTCAAAAATTCGTATTCACATATTCATTTGTTCTTTGAAGTGCCTCAAAGAAACAAAGAGAAAAAAAGCAATGCATTTTTTGGAAACCAAACAAAAATGTCCCTTCAAGTTGAAATATAGTTGATTTAGTCATATACAATGCTTTGGAAAAATAAATGAGATGACTCGTCATATTCCTAATAGAAATTATGTTTTAATTTACTTCTATGTTAAAAGAGAACCCTATTTAAACTAGTATTGGTGACTTGTTTTCTACTCTGTATAAAGTAGTGGTAAAAATTAAAACATGAAATAAAACAGAGTTATAAGTGGAGAAAACATTGTTTTCCTTCATGGAAATCTTGTGTATGTATTATATTATGAGACAAACATACTACGCATTAGAATTAGCATAAATCAATATATTGTGACTTCTTATTTTAATTAAGTTGGATGCCATATCCTAGTTTGAAATTTTAAAAAATATTGGAAGTCAATTTGCTTAATCCAACTTCAAATACTTACTATACACAATTTTTAGGCTAAATTTGGTCTTAGTGCTTTTTATCAAAGCACAATGCAATACCTAGTTGAATTATAAGTGTACAAATATCTAAATGTGAGAAAAAGGAAAGAAAGAGATTCTAGGGAATAGAAAACATTTCTATAGCTCATCAGGAGTTTTGGGGAAAGGTCACAAGAGATAACTCTTATGACGTTATGAGTACTGCAGGATATTTGCTCATGTACCAATGCTACAGTTTTTAATACAAGTTTATAAAATACAGAGTTGGTTAGCTTTCCCAAAATTCATTTCTCTTTGCTACAACCCTCTACTACAACTAAAAGAAACATTTTATTTACTATTTTCACCTAAGTGTGAAGATTTTCCATGTCAAAAATTTCCAGAAAATGAAGTTATATACAAAACCTATATATATTCTAAGTACATATGTTCATTTTTTTCACCTCTTTTCAGTTTTTTTAAAACTTGGTCTCTAAAAAGCACACTGGATAACTGAAAAATTAATCTTGTGTACAGGTCAATTAATTAGTTCGACTTTTTTTCTAATGCATATTTGTCATCATAAGGTTCTTTTGAATATATTTTAGTTAAGGTTAGCTACTATTCATTTCTCTCCTCTTCTTTTACTATAAAGACACCTTCTCTGTCTCTAAAGACACCATTCTTTTTATGCCAAAATAAGCCTTTGTTCTACTAACCAAAACTGTCTTCTTTACATTTATCAGGTCTATTTGACAATGACTACTAAGGTTTAAAGAAAATGTGTTTTCCAGTTGCTTTATAAATTTCTGCTAAGTAATTTACGGACTCTCTGGTCTATGGAATAGGTGTTTGAGGTGTGTTTTGAAAGCATATCTGATGCATAATAGTCTTATGTGCCTAACCTACAGTAACATCACAATTATTGTTGGCAATTAGCTTTCAGTAATACCAAATGTTAAATTTTGATAGGTCTATTAAAAATAATCTTAATTATTTTAAAGAAATCATTATGCTCTTCAATGGCTCGCTAAGCACAATATATGAAACAGATTAAACACTTTCATAGGTGAATAAGTAACATGAAAAAGATCACTTATTGCACTATGTTGAAATGTACTGTACTAAATAAAATGATTATACTTAACTGGCCCCAAACTACTTTGGTGATTTACTACTTGGTGATAGTTTAATTTCCCCCCTACTTTCATCTTTACTTCGGTGTGTAGTTATTCTCTTCATAATAAACCACTGTTGCTCTTAATTAACTATCAGTTAAAATTTAGAGAAATGGAAAGTTGTTAGGGGACAAGGAATATCCAAGCTTTACAAATAAGTAATAGCCTTCACTTTCTTAATTCTAAGTCAATATGTTCACCAGGGCTGTACTTTATTTGGTTAAACATGACAGAAACTTGAATGTAAGTAAAGGCTTACATTCAACTATGAAATAAAATTTCATAGTTATTCCTCAACAATCTCACCAACAAAGAAAAAGAGAGAAGTGAAAGTATCCAAGAGAAACTATGCAGCATTGCCTTCTCTTATTCCCTAATAATGAACAAACAAACTGTATCCAAATTTCACAGAAGTAAGCACGTCTTTTGTCATTATTAGTCTTTAATTGCAAAAATGTGAAGGGTAAAAGCATAGAAGACATTTCACTGTGTTGTACTTTTATATTGCTATTTTAAAAAATAAGTTTTGGAGGGCAGATGATCATTTCTGAACAACTAATATATATATATTTAAAATATACATGAGTCAAAATGATCTGTACAATTTAACTGAAGCTGTAACAACGATGTGATGGATTGAAGTTCAAGTTGTGAAAAAGATTTGCAGAAGGTCAATTTCTTAAAAGTTTAATCATTAAGAAGTGTGAAGAACTTCATTAAAGCATTTCCCATATTTCTGTGACATTTCACCCAAGGAAGCTGTGTCTGCAAAAATGAAAGTTGAAATTGTTAAAGCTAATGAGAACTTTGTACATCAGGTAGAAGTCCATCAACTTCACTTGAGAAGAGTTAAACCTCTAAGTACATAAAGTTTCATTATGGCTTTTATTTACATAGCACATTTTTATTTCAAAGACAATAATGAACAATGATAAGTACAGGTCACATGCACTATAAAGAGTATTTTAAAATATATGCCAGATGTGTATGCTCAGGTTTTAATAAAGATGATAAAGTGCCTTCATTACAACAACTTTCCTCAGGTACTTATATATTCGCCTTTGCTTGAATTTTTGAACTTGGTTCAAAGGATGCTGCCATGGCAAACAAAAGAAGAATAAAGAGAAATTGACTACAACTTTCTGTTTATTGATATTACAGCACACTGATAATTATTGTATATTCTGTTCATGTTAAAAGAATCTAACCATATACTGACATATAAACATAATATTCCTGTAGTATTTGAGGGTTATATCAATTTATTTGAATGACAGTGTGTCAATATTGCTCTAAAATAAAAATTGTCAGTATAATGCAATAGCACGTGCCTCACATCATTGAAAGAAAGGGTCTAATGCATTTGGCAGCAAGTGGTCATACAATTAATGGTCACATTTTAAATTTCATCAAGTAGACATGCTGGTTTCAATGGCAGAGACCTAGAAATTTGCTAACTGCATCCAGAGAAGTTATGGAACCTTAGGCAAATACTTTTTTGAGTCTGAGTTAAGAGTCTTAGAAATAAGTCTATTAAAAACTCAAAACTTTGGCATAATATATTAATTATCTGAGGAAGCACTGGATAAATATCATATTATTTTTCTAAGTCACATATCAGGAAAGATATTAGTGTTTGGTCTGGAAACTAGATAGCACACAGCAGCTGTATCTTGACTTGACCTCAAACCAAGCAAAACTTCCACAATTAGGTATCAGTATCACTTTTAGTGTGAAGTCTTAAAGTGAAACCCAGAAGGTAAAAACCCACAAATAAACCTTCTCCAAAATAGAATACATTAACCCTCATAGAAGTGAAACAATGATTTTAATAAAGTCTGAGTTATCATTTCTATTTGTTTTACAAATGTATAACCAGTTGAGTTCGCTTTCAACAATGACAACTAAGCACCAAAAAGACCTTGTGAATCATAAAAAGAATGTTGGCCTAGAAGTTCAAAGACCTGGGTCCTAGATCTTACTCTGTCCAAGAGTCGATAAAATTGTGAGCAAATCAATTTCCTCTCACAGTCTTGTTTTCCTGAATTGTTTTTAAAAACGAGATCAGAATGAATGAAACTTTATGTTCTTGAATCTTTAAACTGTATGACTGTGTTAATATTTTTTAATGACTCTTAAGTTGCTGTCTATTAAATTATACACATATACATATTAATCCTTGTGAATATTGTGATGGTAGAAAAACTATAAAAAATAACCGAAAATTCAAAAAAATTAGAAATATATTATCATTTCATGGTTTTTGTTATTTATTAGCTATAAAACATGAAACTTTGCATGAAGAGGCAAAAAAAATCTGAGAAATCTTGGCGATGGTGGGAAATAATGAATAGAAACAATGATTGAGCATGTGTGCTCACAATAATCAACCAAAGGAAAAGAAAAATATATAAGTTCCTTTTAAGTATATTTTGTGACAAGACTATCTTTAGATTTTACTAATAAGGACAGCAATTGTTGATACTCAACAAAGTTTGCTAAGAGAAGGGCATAATATGTAAATTTGAACTTCATCCAACCATGTTTCAGGAGACATTATATCAATTCAACTCTCTTCATAGATTGGCAGCTATCTCAAGCTTCTGTGGTCTAAAACTTCAAATGACAATGCATATGCAAATGAGTTCTCTGTATGACTTGTTTATCATAACTTGTTTTGGTTGAATTCAGAAATGTTAAAAGGTGAAAATCAAGGGTAGAAATCAAAGTTATATGTGGAAACCAATAAAATTTATTTTAATCTCAGTGTCATAATGTCCTGAATACATCACAAAGCTGGGGAATTTTGACACTGATTTATTTGGTTTTTAATAGTAATTAGTTCCTACTCAAATATAATTTAGCAATTTTTAATAAGCCTGAAGAATGATGTATTTCTAGAAATGAAGAAATAAGGTTCAATCTGAGTTTTGAAGATGATGTTATTTAAAAAGCAGTGATCTTGGCAGTATTCAGTAAGTCTCCCTGTATGTATGGGGATTCATGAGCTGCAGAACTTTATTAAACAATAACTCCATGAGAACACAATTTCTTTTAACTCATTCTGAAAATGAGAGAGTTGAGGTAAAATATCAGCTCATCATTGTGGCTTTAGAATATGAGAAGGAGGAAAAGTGGGGTGATTTAAATGAAGAAAATAGGGTTAATGTAATGCTTTCTTGGCCTCCCTTTCATTGGTCTGAGGATAATCTTGAGAGAAGCGGAAAGTATTCCCTCTTCTTTAGCCTGAAATTGTTAAAACATTCCAGTTCCAACTGTCTTACTTGTTTAGGAAGGAGGATCTACCTTCTATAAGTCCTGTTGTGAGAAAATATATTGCCTAAAGTTCACATCCAAAAAAACATTTATTTGGTGTTTAAAAGATATAATATATATGATAAAGCATAGTTTTTAACATACAAACTCAGGATTTAACCTTTCTGGATTTTAATTTTATCTGTATCACTTATACTCCACATAACATTGGTAAGTTAATTAATATTTCTAATCCTTCCATTTATTTGTATAATAATAATTACCAATGATTATTAAGTACTTAACAAATGTCAGGTAGTATTGTAAGTGCTTAATATATATCTATTCATTTAGTCTTCAGTAAAATGCCATGTGGTAGAAATTATTATTCTAATTTTATGAAGGATGGTTTCAGAATTTAAAGCAAGTTCCCACAGCTAATAAACAGATGACTGGGGATTTGAACCCATAAAGGCTGATCTCTCTAAATGGCACCTTTGCTTCTTGTACCAGATTGCTTCTCAAGACACTGGAGATAGTAATAGCACTACTTTATAGAACAAAATTATTAAATGGAACAATATATGTAAAGCACTAGGTGTAGGGCCAATACACAGGAAATTTTCAGAACTGTGATATAAACTGTTATCACATGCATGTATTGGTGTCCAATGTATTCTAAGACCACTAAAAGCATAATTCACTCTTCATAATACTATAATGGTGTTATTTATGTATTCAAGATGTAGAAAAGGTAGATAGTTTGTCAGAAACAGGATAATAAGTAAGAGATAGAATCAGCATTTAGATTCCATAGCTAATCCCATTTCTGCCACACCATTCTTTCTCTTATGGTCTATGTTATCATGATTCCAGTAGTGTACTTATTGGCAACAAAATAATGAATATCACTGAAGTTTGTCTTCTTCATAGCAGAGGAATTGCTGTACATTTATAATATTTATGAACATGGTTGAATGTGTTAATTAGAATTTTAATTCTTGTTTGCATACTAATGTCCAGTTATTACATAGGAGTCTGTGAAAATCACTAAATCAATTTTTGAGGGATGGATATCTAGGACATACGTTGCTTTTAAAATGTCATTTAAATTATTTAACATTAATATACTATACTATTTGAATACAGAAATATTTGAAAAAGTGAATTTATAACCTAAGAAATAAAAAAGAGATTTATAAGCAAGGATGGATTGATTAGTCCATTGTGAAATATAAATCAAATGCCTGCACATATTGCTGTTTATACAAATTGTACTCACAATTGGAATCAATTAGCCTCTGGAACTTGAAAGCCGGTTTCTGCCAATCCGATCTATGGGAATACCAAATCGCCTTTTTGAATGATCTACTACTTTCCTAAAATAAATCAAAAGAGACATCATTCTTAAGCTAAAGTCCAAGTTACCTGTATTACTTTGGTTCTTTTGTTATCATGTAGATCTGGGACTTTTTTCAGGAGTTGCAATAAATATGAGAGTTACCATTCACCAGTTCTAACCATGAACCAGACACTCTCTCTTATTTTCAACATCTGTAGAAGTAGGTATTACTTTCTTTGTTTAACATATGAGGAAACTGAAGTTAGGAGATGTTAACTTATTCAAATTTAAATAGACCCTACCAAAGGCCAGGTCTTTTCAGCATTCTAATCTAAGTGCTCAATTTGAGTAAATCCCTTTCCCCATGCATATTTTATTCTTCCATTAACTGAGGAAGATTAGACTAGATCAGTGGTTTTTCCCAACCTCTGCCTCAGAGTAGTTCTTCGGGAGAAAGATGATGGTGGGAGAGAAAACACTAATTAAGACTAATGTGGATTAAGTACATCTCTCATATCTTCACTTAGACTTTACCCAGAGAAGCTGTGTTTGTGATGGTCTATGTTTGCTGATATATTCCCTACATTAAATATTGTTTGAAAAATATTAAACAACGTCAGGGTTGAAATGAAGTATAAAAAAACCCACACTGGACTACAAAAGACCTAATATACTTTCCAGCTTATATTTTCTAGGAATTACCCACTTAAAAAATAGCAAACATTTTAGAAACACTTCTACTTGATTTGTTATGATCATCACTTAGTTTTAGTAGACCAAAATCTTAACAGGAGAAGTCCCTGAATTTTGACTGTGTGACTTTCATTGGCCTTGTTAGTTGAAGATCTGTGTTTTCTTCATGAGGAGAAACGTGGGAAAAGCTAAGAATCCCATGTAAGTCAGTGATTTATCTCATAGCCAAAGGTAATCAGCTTATAAATGTGTAGGCTTTTGGTTGGCTTATACATGTACAAAAGACAGCAGAAGAGGGCATATTATAACAATGTTAGATGTATAAATTACAAATGCAATAAACTCCCAGATCAAGAAACAGGACATTACTGGCATTCAAACATTCTAATTTTTGGAACGAGAAAGAAACTTAAAGGTTATTCTTCCATCAAATGCAAAGATTTTTGCTTCACTTTTTTGGCAAGTAATCGTACAGTTCATTGCTTGAAAATCTCAGTTATATGGGACTTAGTACCTCACAAGACAATTTAATCTTTAGCAGCATAAAGAGTTAAACAAAAAAACAAAAAGATTAGTTCTAGAACATTTTCAGGCAGGTCTCCATGGCTCAGCCTGTAATCCCAGCACTTTGGGAGGTCGAGGTGAGTGAATTGCCTGAGCCCCTGGGTTTGAGACCAGCCTGAGCAACTTGGCGAGATCTTGTCTCTACAGTAAATCAAAAATTAACTGGGTGTGGTAGCAGGTGCCTGTAGTTCCGGCTAATTGGAAGGCTGAGGTGGAAAGAGCCCAGCAGGTCAACTCTGGGGTGGTGGTGAGAGTGCCACTGCACTCCAGCCTGGGCGACAGAGTGTGACTCTAACTCCAAAAAAAGAAAGAGAGAACATTTTCAGTAGCTTCTTTAGTTCTTTTTAAATTATTTCTATTATATTGTTAATCAACACGTATTTACTTATTATTACTTCATACCAATTTATACACTAAAATGAACTTAAAACCTCAAAGTTTTTTAGGTTTTTCATACTATCATTCAGTTGTTTTTCCTATTATTTATGATGTACCCATTATGTATAAGGTACTTTTTGTGGCTTTCTTGGGAGAGATGAGTCAGAAATAGGCTTTGACTTCAAAACTCTATGACTGACTACTCTCAGATTGATGATGGTTTAATGAAAATAGAAGAGGAAAATTTTTTCATTTTTATTGGTGCCAAGTTTTTTACCTTAACTACCAGGTCTTATTAATGTTCCTGATATCACTATTAAGTAAATAATTTATTAAAAGTCTCTGAAAAGTATGGAGAAAAAAGGAAACATGAGAGATATTTACTACTGTACCTTGCACATATAAATTACCTGTGAACATTTATCAATTCTAATTGAAATAATTAATTTGAAGACAATATTTACTTAGAACCTTCTTATATTCCCGGTACTGAGTACACTAGAATGATAAAAATAGACATGGACTCTGATATGGTGTTTACCCTCAAATGATATTGTAGGAATAGGGCCATGTTATGTTTTGCACTTTATTCAACTTTGTTTTCTACTGATTGAACATTCATCTTCCTTTCTAGATTGGCTCTTGGTTTTGTTATGTGGATTGACTATATGTGTGATCTTCCAAGACTTTGTCTCCTAGACAACAATTTGATCAGTTAACTGGGTGGGAAAAAAATCTAGGAAAAAATTATTTAGCCGGGCTCGGTGGCTCAGCCTGTAATCCCGCGCTTTGGGAGGCTGAGGTGACTGGATTGCCTGAGCCCACAGGTTCGAGACCCACCAGGGCCACTTGGCAAGACCTCATCTCTACAATAAACCAAAAAATTAGCCGGGTGTGGTAGCGCGCACCTGTAGTTCCAGCTACTTGGAAGCCTGAGGTGGAAGGATCGCTGGAGTCCAGCAGGTCAAGGCTGCAGTGGCCGAGAGCGGCCACTGCACTCCAGTCTGGGCAACAGAGTGAGACTCCAACTCAAAAAAAAAAAAAAAAATTATGTAATGCTTATCCTTACCTTATCTATACCTCTGCCTCCCTTCTTCAGATTTCTGGAAAACATACGCTCTTACGTGATGTGTGTTGTTTGCACTTCTGAGTTTCTTGATAACAAACTGACAACATATTTTTTAACTTGATAATCAAATATAAAACATGCTCTTCATAAAATTAACATAAAATTCATGACAAATGTCATAAAAAACTATGCATATCAGTCATGCTTTAAGCCTTTTGATGTAATTACAGGTATTGGATATTCAAAGAAAAGAAAAAACTGTTTCCTTTATATTTTTATTTATCTTTATCCACATAAGTAAATGTATAGACTCTTAATTTAAGCAGATATTTTCCCTGTGGTAGTCAGAGTAATGACTCCTAAAGATGTTCATTTCCAAATCCCCTGAATTTGTAAATATGCCACTTATCATAGCAAAAGTGATTTTGCAGATTTTGCAAATAGGATTAAGATTACAGGCTTGGGGATGAGAGGATTATCCTCTATTATCTGGGTGGGCACAATCTAGTTACTGGAGTTAATAAAAACAGATGATGAATGAGGAAGAGTGAATGAGAGAACTGTAGTATGAAAAATACTTAACCATTATTGCTGGCTCAACGCCATTCAAAACTAAGCCACGAATCAAGGCTTGGGTCATGAATCAAGGTATGATGTGGCCTCTAGAAGTGCTTGAAAGCAAATGGTGACCTAAATTTTACAACCAAGGGACTGAATTCTGCCAACAACTTGAATGAGATGTGAAAAACCAATTCCTTCCAGGTGTTTAAAGGACTTGTGAGAAGGGAGGAGATAGCAGCTGGAAAAAGGAGTCATATGACAAGTGACTGAAATCCAAAAGCCCCTCTTAAGAATAGATGTTGTCATGAAAAATAATCCTTTTAACTTTTTAAAGAGAAGTATGATAAAAACAGAACATTTATTGGTTTGAACTACCCATTTATTTTCTCAAAAATTAATGTAAAATAAATGAAAATAGCATTTTCCCTTTCTTGCTTTTGTATATTTTATTTTTCCCTGCTAAAGCAAATGAAAGGCAACTGTGATAGGGTGGAAAGCACAATGAGCTCTTTTTCTTTCTCCATTCTCTCCTTTTTTTCTTTCCCTCAGAGTTGATCCAGAAAATATTAAGAACAGGAGACGAAGGACTTGGGTTCCACTAGATTCTTTTACTTACTGATAGTGTGACTCTCTGTAACCCTATTATTTTAAACTACTTTTCCTTTTGAATAAAATTCAGGTAATAGTTGATGGCTTACCTTCTGAAGCTTTGTTTTCATTTAATACACTTATTTGCTAAGTAATATTTGCTTGTTTTATGAATAACCATATGTGTTTGTTTTCTGCACTGAGCATGCAGTGGTGAATAAGACATACTTCTCAGAGTTTGCATTTCACATTGAAAAGGGCTAATGAGGTAACATACATAAAATCATTTTACACATTTTAACTGGTACTATTCTTTCCTACCAATCTAATCCAGTGGTTTTCAAATGATTTATAATTTATTATTTCTATGGATAAAATCTTTATGAAAGAAAACAAAATCTAAAAAGTTAAATGACTGACTCTTGCAGTGGAGTACCCCTCCCTCCCAAATATAGTGGCCCCTGAAGGAACTTCCAGAAACACTTTAAGTTTCTCAAAGCAGAGTTTGAATGAACACTACGGTCAAGTAGATCGAGTAGAGACTTGAATTGTACGTGATTTTATTCTAGCAAAGATCTGTAATTACTTTGATTTATCTTATCAAATTTGGTATTGGTTGCAAATGCTCACAAGTATCTCAGAATCAAATAAAAAATACATAAAACAAAAATATATACAATCCATTCACCATTTAAAAATGTTGGCACTAATAAAAATGAAAATTATTTTCATAAAGCACATAAATAAAAACTATAATAGCTCAGTAAGTTAAATAATTTCCATATAATTGACATTCATTCAGAAGTAAAATGGCAGACTAGTAGTTATTTTAACATTTGTGCTCATATGAAATACATATAATAGTACTACACTGTATAACACATGCACTACAGGAATATAATGTGTACAAAATCAGCATTAGAGAAATATTCTTAAGACCAAAAGGCAAATCCATACTTTCTGACTACCTAGTCCCTCTTGTGACAAAACAATGGTATGACAATGCTTATATCACACATGCATTTAAAACAATCCACCTTTTCTATCCTAAAATATTCTGTAAGTAGTTTTACAGATAGAATGTCTATCAACTAATATAAAGAGAATTATTAGATTGTTTATTTTAAACACAACTTTAATCTTTAAAACACAGACTTCCTTTATAAAATAGGATTTTCTTTAAC